AGGCAGGAAGGGCCAGAGTTCCACTTTGCCCCTGAAGAAACTAAGGCCCCATCAGGACAGGAACTCTAAGTCTGCACCCCCAGTGCATGGTACACAGTTGGCAAGGCTCGAAGGAAGCACTCAATATTTGTTAAAAGGAAGAAAGAATGGAAGAGGTCAGTCGTTACTGAAGTTACTCGCCTGATGGCAGCAGGGTCAGGGTCATACCCAGAATTCCTGAATGTCTGCTCTGGTGAGTTATCCTACTCTCCCAGACCACCAGCTCCTAGAACAACAGGAGTCCTGGTGTCTTACTCACCTAACCCCTCCTGCTAGGCCACAGGGACACTGAATCTCTTCAAAGGTGGTACAAGAAAGGACACAGCATGTAATGTGCCCCTCAGCCCTGCTGCTCACGGGAGCACCTGTTCCTTGATTTACTTTAGGCTTTGCATCCTTGGCCCGTTAACTATTTTTGTAGCTGTTTAGATCACTTGCCCTGCTTGGAGACAAGAAATTAGACAATAAGATCTCTGCTTCTGGGAACTACCAGTACTGAGGTGGTAAGTAAGTTAATCAAAGGCAAAACATAAACTGGGCTCTGAGCATGTTTCATCACAGACTCTCTGGTCCTGGGGCCAGTCCATCATCTATGCACAGATGGAAAGGGCTCAGCTAGACCTGGAGTTTGCTTTTGCCTTCTATGCAGGTCTAAAGGCATGGGTGGCCCAAGCGGGCAGGGAGAAAGGTCACTGAATATAAAGGGAAGAAAGGCCCAGTACAAAATGAAAGGAAGAGAAGAATATGTTTTGATGAGTCAAATCGAGGAAAGATGGGTCTCCCATACGGTCCCTGAGGTGTTGCCCCCCAGGGGCAGAGGAACCTGTCAATCATAGCTACAGAAAAGGCTTAGAGGAACTTTCAAAGCTGAGAAATTAACTCTCTGCTGCAAAGTGAATGGGTTTCACAGGCAGCTGAGCAGAGGACCCTGCAAGGCAGGGGCTCCTGGATGCAAAGAGACGAGAGGAATGTAAAGGAGTGTGACAACCCCTGAGCCTGCTTGCCCTGCCCGTCACAGCTGCACGGCCTGCATGGAGGCCATTCACAGGCAGGGCCCCGTCCACCCCCTCTGCCTTGTTAATGAAACCAGCGTGGAGATCCTAATGACTGATCAAAGCCCAGCCAGCTTCCTCAGGCCCGATGCACCCTTGCTTCTTCTTGGAGAATAGGGGCTAGAATAGGGAGGGGAAACAAGGGTGTGGGGTAGGAGAGAATGCTTTGTAGCCCCATCTCTAAGGTAGGAAAGCACCATCTTGACTCTGGAACCATGAATGCAGTTTCCTTGGACCCTGACACTCGCTGTCTTTACTCCAAGGGTTGCAGGGTGATTAAGCAGTGGAATTCTGCTTTCAAAGGGCCTCAGGCAAATACTTGCCTTCACTCTGAGGGAAGCATCCTCAAATGAGTCTGGACACTGAGTTCTCATTTTGCCATCTTGCTTTCTCTGGTGAGCGAGGAAGCCAGTCCTGAGTAAACCACCAAAGCCCCTTTCTGAGCAAGTATCGTCATGCCATTCAACATCAGCTCCCTGCCACCTGCCTATCCATTTATGCCCAGTCTACCCTTTCCATTGAGTGCCACACTAACCAGGGCTGAAAAAGAGTTCCGCTTTCTAGTCAAATGTCCGTGCAGCAGGGTTTGCTGGAGATGTGCAGACAGAGAACTTTAAACATTGACTCTCTACACCAGCAGACCAGATGATTTAAGTATGTGTCCTGCCTGCAAACCAAAAAAACCTTTATGGAACAGTACATCTGGGTCTGTGTTTGAGGAAGAGTAGGGTGGGATGGCTGCCTTCTGTTTCCTGGGCCTTGACAAGGGTGGAAAAGCTGTTGCCCTCACTACTAAACCCCTGTTTCCTGGAGCTGCCGGCGAAGCCACAGAAGGGAGAACTTGGCACGGTGAAAGATGCTGCGTCTGCGTGTGCTGCCTGACAAGAAACAGGAGGCTTCAAGGTTTTTCTGAGGTGGAGAGATGGAGAGAATATGCAGGAAGGGTATATGACTACAAGGAGTCACAGGGCAGTTGATAGCATGAGAATTCTAGGAAGGAGACCAGAGTGACATTTGCCGGTATTTTATGAATGTATAATAAAGGGGCCTGGCTTTGAGAATCCCATTAGAGATTGCAGGGATTCTGGGCAAGAAGGAGGTGGAAGCTGTGAAAATCCCAGTGACTATGATGGCCAGGCCCACTGTGACAGAGTTGCGTTAGAACAGAAACAATTAACAGAGGAATCAGCATGATGTGTTGAACAGAGGATCCGTATATCTACTTCATATCCAGCGTCCCTGTAGACAACATTTTCACTAACCAATCCTTACAGAATTCTGAGTTCAAGCACGCCACCCCTATGTCTTCAGTGCATAGAATGAGTCTGAGTCAAGAGCATAGACACACATATTGGAACTGAGGTAAAAAGTGACTGAGTGACCTGAAGAGAAACCAGAGTATGCGGTATTGTAGTTGGACAGTAGAGGGCGCTGCTACTCCAACAGACTTCAACATAAAGCTACAGGAAGAAGGAAGTGGTCTGCATGAAGGGTACTACTGGGTTGTTGCTTTCGCAATTTCTAAATATACAATCAGTCTTCAGAGCATAATAAACAGAATGATGTCCTTATGAGAAGTCACAGAGTTTCCCCCAGACAAACTCAAACAGCCCAGAGGGACTAAAAGCCACTTAGCCATCATACCACTTTGGCTTATGCCCAAATAGCATGGGGCCATAACCATTAATGCTTTCCTACTAAAATGGAAAAGAAAAAAAAATTCTCCCTCATTTTTAATAACTTTATTCCCCAAACTTCAAAATGAAAATTGCCAAGTTAAGAACTTGCCTAGAAAAAAAATTCTAATTTATTATAAAGAAGGTCCGGGGCTTGGGAATTTTTTAATGCAGATTCCTAATTTTCCAAAGTGACATTCTCCTGTGCATTTGAATAGATTATGCTCAGTATTGCTAGCCCTTAGCACAACGGGAACATTATTAAAACGATTGCATGGGTCTCTGAGGAGAGGCTCTGCTTCTCGCTCCCTTTCTCATTTTGGGGACTTCATATCAGAGAGTGTCCATTGCTTGCCTGTGAAAGAAACTGGGTTTCTGGGGAGGTGACATGGAGTTGTGTCACAGAGGGAAGTCACAAGATTAGAACTGAAGGGGTAATGAAAGAGTGGGTCTCATTTCCTGAGGGCCCCTATCTCAGATGAGTCCCTGTGTGCCTGACCCATGTCCTATTATAAGGCCCGGCTTTCCTGAAGACACCGTGTCAGAGAGCAGCTGGTTCTTTAGGATAATGACATTACAAGGGAAATAGAGCGGAGTTTTCCCCTGAGGAGCTGGGGTTAGCTCTTGAAAGCTGAGAGGGAGGAAGGCAGGGGACCAGCTGTATGGAATGTTAGTGTTCAAGCACATGAGGGAGAACCACACCAGCCCTAAAGAGTGGGGACAGGGACTGCTGGGGCCTCCTGATTCCAAAGGCCAGTACCCAAATACAGGAAAAAGCGGTTTTTCTTCCATGAACCAGAAACCTCCATAGTCCTGTTCCCAAACCTCAGCAGTTTGGGATCCCTGCTCCCTGCTTTCTTCCAGCCACTCCTATCACTGCCTTAACCCTTCTTCCTTAGCCTCCATCTTCATCCAACCTATTTCTTAAGGTTAAAGTGATCCAGGGAAAGAGTATGAAGGTCCTGTGTTGAATAAGCCTAGAGACCCAAGGACATGTCCTAGAAGGTGGTCATTGGATGATGAGGAGTTTTGTACTTTCTGGGAGAGAGGAGTCAAAGATGGTCTGTAAAGTGGCCCTACAGCATCTGTCAACTTCCCAGAGGTTGGAAGCGACATGGTGTACAGGGCAGCTGCTAGGGGTTCACACCAAGCAGGGGCATCAGGAGGCCATAGGACCTACTGTAAACAAAGTCCCCTGCCTTGTCGCCACCTCTCAATACTCGTTTCCATGTGGTCTTTGAGGATGACTATGTTTGAAATCTCCCTGGTTGGCATGCAGCCAGAGGACGGTTGCTGCAGAGAAGGTGGGCTGACACACAGTAGGACTTCTCTGGGTTAAATTCGAAGAGAGCATTCTAGCCGGTGCAATTGACATGACACGTGCCCAGTGGATAATTACTGAACGGGGATGGACTCACACGATTAGGGTGGAGAAAGGAGGAGAACCCCAGATAGAGGCCAAAAAGGGACCATCCCCCATGAAAGAACAGCCCTAGAACTCAGACTCAGTGGCTGCTGGGAGGCACCCAATGTAGAAAGAAGAAGGGATGGGTCTCAGGGACTACAGCAGCCCAATCCACACAAGGTAGAAGCTTCCAGAACAAAACAAAACAAAACAAAGACAAAACCTCCAAAAAGCAAAACAAACAAACAACAACAATAATAACAAAAACCAGAGGGAACCAAAGTAGTGGGAAGCCACTGCTGCTGAGGGTCACAGGTTTTGCATCCAGGGAAGGAGGCTCAGAAGAACATGGAGCTGATGATGTCAGATGAGAACTAGACCAGGGGAACTGAAGTCGTGGGCTGAGAATCTTGCCCTTTCTAGGCAGAAGCCCAGAAGAGCCCCAAGAGATTCTTCTAACAGGCAGGTAGGTAGCAGGGCACTGATCAGAAGGGCTCAAGAGACCAGAGGTAGGGAGGTCCGGTGCTGAAGTAGGCAGGATTTTGCCCTGAGCAGGACTAAGGGCTTTAGCTGTACTTTCCAATGTCTGCACTGTGAGAACGGCAGACAGGTCTGTGATCACCACTCCAGGCTATGGTCCTGGTGACAGAATTAACCCAGCCTGGGTGTTTTGTCAAGCTCAATGACACTTCAAGGACCTGTATTTTCCAGACCAGACTCTCCAGAGAAGCCTCCCCAAAGCTGACAGGCTAAAGCTGAGCCAGGACTGACTGCCATATGGGGTTTCTAAGGCTACCAGACCTCCCCATTCTTCCCTGGCACACTCACCTGGGGGCTGTCCTGGTAGGGTGGGGGAGGGACATTCTGCGTGGCCATCATTGTCAGAGCTGGGGCTGGGGAGGCATGTTGCATCATGGGATTGATTCACATGGAGGATCTGTGGGCAGAAGAAAAGGGGCCGCAGCGTTAGTACCAAGTACAGGCAGCCCAGGGACTAACCAGCTCCAACTTTCTTTCCACTTGCAACACCTGGATTAAATGGGATACGCAGGGATCAGGGGTTCTTCAGGGGAACAAGTCAGAACTACGGGAAGAGGCCATGTGGAGAGGGGTTTGCTGCGCTATTTTGACTCAAAAGAAATAATATTCAAATGATATGTAAAACAATCTGTACCCCTGCGGTGATGCTTCGCACAGCATCAGCTCAGGCCTGGCTGGTAAGCGGGGAGACAGTGGGTAGCTTCGCTGGTGGCTGGCCTGCTTCATCCTCCCCACCCCTCTCAGACAAGGGCGCTCCTTGCTCAGCCCCTGGCAGGCATTCAGGGGAACCTTCAGCATTCCCCCTAGGCGGGAAGCTCATCCGCCTACAACTTGAAGACTCAGGGTCTCCGTCCCCAAGCACCAGGCTTACCCTCCCAAGTGTGCTCATTACACCCCCTAGTGGTAGCAAGGGGCATGGACCATCAGCCCTCTTCATGACTAGTCCAGGGTTGACCAGCATGAAGGTTTTTTTGGGAAGGGAAATAATAGAAGAGCATTAATCACTTCTTGGTATTCTTAGGTGCATACTATGACACTAGCACTTTCTCCAGTTTTGGTCCAATATAGAACCACCAGGATGTAGAGCCAGAATTGCCAAATGGATGGCCTGCCTCCTACATAGGAGAAGACAGGCCCTGAGGAAGTGTGTGTGTGTGTGTGTGTGTGTGTGTGTGTGTGTGTGTGTGTGTGTTTTACAGGTCCGCTCTAAGGCATCCCACACCACCCCGTCACCAGTAAACGAACTGCCTCTTGGGGCCGCCACATTTCCCCTTGAACTAGAGCATGGCTTGTAAGTGGAGACACCCTGGCAGTGCCACCCAGGGAAACGGAATGCCCAGAGAGATGCTGAGCTGCAGTGGATGCCCTGAAATATTTAAAGCCAGCCACTCACAGGCCGGTTGCTGATGTAGCACTGACCAGCACAGGGGTGGAGCGGGGGAGGGGAACCAGGAGAGCCCTAAGAACATGCAGGGGTGGAAACTGTCTCCTGGGCAGAGGGGCTAGTGAGCTAGAAGCTTTTGTGAGCCAGAGTTCAGGTCTCCATGCATGCCCGGGGGGGGGGGGGGGCTCCTCCAGTCTCCACTTCCCAGAGCCTTCCAAAATGTCCACATTTCTGAGTCTGTAAGAACTGAAAAGTATCTTAGAGGTGCCATTCAAAAGTGATGCGGGTCTCAGGAGTGTGTGTGTGTGTGTGGTGCGGTTGTGTGTGTGTTTTGTTATTGTTCTTTTCAGGAAGGAAAAGAAAGAACTACCCTGGCCTGACCTGGGTCTCCAAAGTACCAGGCATGCTTTGACCTCAAGTGCACAAGCAAAGCAGTGGGGTTCATGTTTCATTCAACAGATGCTTATCACATATCAGCTGTGCAGGGAACTGTGCTAAGGAGAGAGGCAGGATGGATGAAGGAGGCCAGGGCTCCTCTCCAGGGGGTCTGGTTGGTAGAGGGAGGTGATAATTTGGCAGAAAGAAAGAACATGGGGGTTGGGGATGACAGTGCCGGAGCAACAGCTTCGCCTGAGCTTAGAGATCACCTTGGCTTCAAGGTTTGCTCTTCTCTCTATCCTGATGTGCCCAGAAGGCAGACCACTGGGCTTGCCGTGTGTCCATCTCAACACACGATGAACATGGGAGACCCAGGCTACCCTTTGCACAGGAGCCTAGGAGAGAGCAGAGGAGGAAAGCCTGTCTCTTCTGTCAGGAAAATTATCAAGGTTTGTCTTCACGGCCAGGCTTTGCGTGGGTTGTTGCCAGTCATAGTAAGCATGGACAGACTAGAGAGAATCACGGAAGGAAAAAGATTATTTCCTCTTCCTCCTTCTCCCCCTCCTTTGCAGCGCTAGAGATGGACAGCAGGACCTGTGCTGTTCTAAGCATTTACCCCACCCCTAAATTAGGTCCCTTGCCCAGAGGCAAAATTCTTGAGACATTACAAAGATCTTCCAAATGAAGACTTTTGAAGAGAACCGGGTGTGGTGGCACACATCTATAATCCTAGCTCTTGGGAAGCAGAGGCAGGAAGGCACAGTAAGCCTTGATGGCAGCCTTGTCTGCATAGTGAGTTTCCAGGCCTCAAAGGCTACATACCCTGTTTCCCCACCCCTTCCATCCTTCCAAAGACTCGATGCTATAACGAGCATATGAGCTCTCTTTTGAAACCTGGGAGAATAAGAGAATGGGGATCTTAGGTGGATGTTACTAGCTCTGGAAGATAAAGCAACTTTGACTGGACCTAGGATTTAGGGCCTGGGGTGGGGGTGGGAGTGATTCAGGAGTCCCCCAAAGTACCAATCTTAAGAGTTCAGTGACGGAAAATGTTGCAATACCAGAAATCTCCAGAAGAGGGAGCACGGGGCAGAGACACTGCTGGAGCAATGGCCAGGAAGGTTTTTCTCAGCCTGTTGGGGCAACTGTTCCTTTTAAAATTGGGTTTGAGTCATTTGGTAACTTCATTCCGTAAGTGAGAAACTCATAGTGAAGGTAAGGCAAAGAAACCTCAAACAGGAGAAATTGTGGTTTAACGGAAAAGTCATAAATCCCTGCTCTTTTGTTCACACTCCCATAATGAAGGCAGCGGTCAGTTAAGAGATGGTATCCCTTGATAATGTCTGTTGCAGAGCAAAGAAGGGTAGTTAAGAGCGTTGTGATCCTAGAATCAACCGTCCAGAAGGCGGAGACATTTTTTTCAGCTCTGAGCCTACCAGGCTGTTCAGGAGGGAATCTAGGCGGCTCCGGCCCCTCCCCTTCTTTGGAGGTCACCGGAAGTCCCTAGGCCACTGCCCATTGCCCTCTAAGGAGTTCTCTTGCAAGCGAATTGGAGGCCAGTTCAAAAGAGGCTTAAGGTACCCTCTCAGCTCAGATAAGCACAGAAGCTTCTAGAAATTTGACCCACTGGAGCTCAGCTTCAAGAGACCCCCATGCTCGGCTTGCGGGTCTCGCGGTGTCTTTAATCCCCCCCCCCACATGCACCCTCATTCTGCTTGATTCCTCCTTGAAGGGACACAGACGCCATTCTGAAGGGGAATGTGGGGCTCCTATTCATCCCGTCAGGGCCTGGATGTGGGGGAGTCCTTTGACGATAGCTGGGGGGTCTTAAGACCTTGGGGGAAGCCTGCCCCATGACAGTTCCGGAGCTTTATTCAGCGGTTCTGTGGGGTTGCTGGCCCTGTCCGTTTCTGTCACCAGACACCACACCAGGGCATGGAAGGGACCACAGCCAAGGCAGTAATCAGAAGACTGTGAGGAATGTTTACCCCGGAGAATAGCAGCGCTCAACTCCACAAAATATCCAGGAGGAAGTAATTTGTATCACTGATACTGCCATCAAAGGGACTCAAAGTGCCATTTTGCAGGCACAAGAGCCAAGCAAGGTAACAGGGCATTGGGGCCACAAAGGTGGGTACAGGAAAATCTCCACTATGGGAAACAGGAATGTGCAGCGTAGGGTCTGGCTCTCTCCCTGCCTTCTTAGCTCTGGCTCCCCAGAGGCAGTGCTGTGATGCCCTTAGACTGAAGCGCAAACTCCAGTGTTGACAAACATAGGCTCAGGGAAAAAAAAAAATTGCCAAGCTCGTTAGAAGGAGCTCATTAGGACTTGTTGACATGAAACCCATTAGACCAATTAACATTCCATTAACGGCCTGGGGCACCAAAGGGGTTAATGCTGCTGGGCAGTAATTGGGCAGGGGTGTAGGGGTTGGGGGCTCAAGGTTTTTAAGGATGAGAAACAAAGTCTAATTGGGAACTATCTGGCCAGCTGGCCTGACAGCATTTGTTCCTGGCCCCTGACCCTAGCTGGGACTAAACTCTATCTTTGTATCCAGTGCTGAGGTAGGGGAAGGAAGGAAAGCCCAAATTTGCTCTGCTCCCTCCGTCATGCCCCTCCACTCCAGACTGGAGACGGGGCAGGTGGTTGGCATAAGAACAGGATGGGGGTCATTTCTACCCTCTTTGACTCTGATAGGTGGGTTTTCTTCATCTGTGATACCCTCTCCTTCACTCCCTCTGGTCTTGCTTTAGTCATTTTATTTCATATTTTATTTTTGAAACACAAATGTCCTTGGGTAGCCCAGGCTAGCCTTGGACGACTCACTGTCTTTCTGCCTCAGCCTCTGGGGTAAATTCTGGGATTACAGATGTGCATCGCTGCTACATCTGGTTGGTTCAGTATCTTTCAGCCCTGGGAAGTGAGTACCCTCTCTTCTGCAGAAGCTGGTTTTCGGTGGTGTTACCTGCTTTTTCTAAGTAGGAAAACATGGGAGGTTTCAAAGCCTAATGCATCCCAGGAGTGTTGGGGTGGTCCTGGGTATCTGCCCCCCAGAAGTAATTAAGAGAGCTCCCCCTTTCTCCCTCTCCCTTCTCTCTTTCTCTCTGTCCCTATCTTTTTCTGTCTCTCTGTGTGTCCCTGTCTCTCTGCTTTGGTATAAGTAGAGCCCATGGAGGTCTCACTCCGTGGGTGAGTCTCAGTTTCCCCATCTGCAAAATAAATCAGTTGCGTAAGATTTACAAAATCGCAGGATCTAGCCCGTGCCTAGGGTCCAAAAGTCCAAGTTCTACAACCTCTACAAGTCACATTCCCTTTTGGACTGCAAAATAAGAGACGCTTCCAACATCTGCAAAACCATTGCCCACAATGAGCCCTTCACATATGCTGAGTGAATTGAATGCCAATAGTTGGGTTGTAGCTTCATTCCAAGGGTTAGTCAGTTCCCAGTTTCTCTTCCTTCCCCAGTTCACTAGCAAGTGGGGGCTGGGGAACATCCTGAGGCCAGCAAGCCAGGAATCCTCTATCATCCTAGTCCCTAGTCCCCTAGATTATTCCTCCACCTGCATCCCGGAAGCCTTCCCCTCTCTGACCCAGGCCAGTGGTTCTGACGTCTAGACAGATTTGCAGGAGGCTG